CCTCTGGCCCCAGACCTGGAGACCAAACCCCTGGCTGCTGAGGTTACACCATCATGGTTTACAGTTCTGCGGCCAGAGGTTGGACCTACTGGTCTGGCAAGAGACCCTGTTTGAGTCACTAGATGTTAAAAAAAAAACAAAAAACCCAACAACAAAACCCCAAACAAACAAAAAAACCCACAAATAACCCAACAAAAAAGAACCTAAATGAAAAAAAAATAGAACGAAAAGAAAATTTAGGATTGCAATGTCAGAACCTGGTCATTTCAGCTCAAAATTCACCAAGTGAAAACAATCGAAGCTGCAGTAAATGGCAGCTCCTATCAGGCCACACATCCCCACTCGGCAGGGTTAGCGGCAGTCTGGGGAGGACACACTCAGCTTTGAGCCAGCACGGACATTCCTCGAGAGTGTCAGGTCACCCCTGAGGTCATCGGTGAGGAAGCGCCTCTCGCCGCTTGGACTGTAGCTGCTTGTGTTGGAACCCAGAAGACATTTGTTTTCATTGCTGCCAGTCATGAGCACAAACGGTCCCTCGAAAAGACGGAAAGAGCAAGCCAAACAAGAGACTTGCATAATGGTACTGTATTAAAAAAAAAAAAAAAGCAAAACAAAAAAACCCACAAAACCAAACAGGGCAGCAGAGAACCTGGGAGCCAGTCCGGATGTGAAGTTAAACTTTTCCTCACCCTGTGGGTTTCTTCCCCCCAGAACTTTTCCAAAACACAGTGTTAGCTAATTAACTTTTTAGCTGATTTTCTCCCCCCTCGCCAAAAAAAAAAAAAGTGAACACTCAGCAGGCAAAGATTTTGCCCACATGGCTAAAATTAATCCGAGTTACAAACAGCTGAAAACAGGTCTTTAGAGTAGGAAGTATTAAGCAACTTTAATAATAGGTAGATCGTGCAGCCCCACCTATAACGAGCAGCAAATGCACCTCCCTAGAACAGATAGCATTTAGATGGGTTGGTATACTATGAAAACAAATCCTATTAATATTTTAAGACTACTAGTTAACGAAATGCTCAAGCCAGTTTTCAAGATGACTACTTCTTCTAAGGCATTACCTTTTTTTTTCTTATGAGAGAAAAAAAAATGATGTCTTTTGTAAACTCTGCTTTTCTTTAGAGCATGAGGAGCTTCTAGTGCTTTATGCTGAACACGGATTTAATGACCAAACAGATCTAATGGGAACAGAGCAATTTATACCACCTGAACAAAAGGTTTCGTCATCTTCATTTCAAGCCCTCATTTCTAGAGTGTTCAAAGGCCAGAGAGAAAGTTAACTGTGACACTCCAGTCATATGAAAACCAAGTTCTATTTGGTTTCAAAATTAAGCACTGTGGTAGCTGACCTCTCAAAACAAAACCCTCCAATTAATTACCACTATCACATAAAACTAGCACGATACAGACACCTATGTAAGAGAGGCAAATCAAGACCATACAGGCAACATTGGTTCTTAACATTATTTAACTTCAAAGTGCTTGATTTTACAGCCTTCAGTATTCTTTAAAAGGCAACAAGGTGTATAATTATTTTTTTAATTAGCACAGTAGGACATACCATTTGTTAACTACCATTTACTAGGAACACATTACTGATAGCTGAACTGTTCCTGACTGAACCAATGGATTTATGCTGGCATAAACAGCACCAACAGGGCAAACCCAAACTAAAAAATGTGTTTCAGGTTTACTCTGTTCTGTATCTAATCTCTGCACATAATTAAGAAATGTTATCACATAGCCACACTGGTACCCATCTAAGTTCTACCAACTGATTATGCACAGGAACTGTGGAAATACACTCTTCCTCTCTTTTTCTGCTTCTCCTGGAATACCAAGTACTTCCATTTTCCCACTAGCTATTATCTTTAAAACTGGTTCTCATAAAGGGATGAGACAGAGTATATTTGCTCAGAAAACAAAAGTTTTTTCACTTATAGCAATTATAAAAAGTTGAACATGTATTTTGCTGAGCCTAAGTACTTGACAAAAATACACTGCCAGCACTGAATTGTTGCTGCTCCTGCCCCCTTCTTAATTTTTTTTTTCCTTTAGAAAGTCAGCCAAAGTGTAAAAAATAATGCTTTTGGGCCAGCACACTCAGCCGTAGGAAACAAAAGATTTGCAAACCACAGGCTGCGCCTTTACGTCCAAGGCTGTTGCTCCGTAAGGTTCATACCCTGCTTCTCTGCATTTCAGCACAGGCACTCTGACAAAACAGCAACACGGCGCTTTCCCTTTCCCCTGCCTCTCCGTTTATGCCCTCTCCCTTGTGCCCAAGGGAGGCAGAAGCCGTCCTACTTGCTACTCTGACACCACAGGGTAAGGTACTTCCTTGATCCACTTCAAACCACTGCCATGATGACAAAGTGTAAACACACCCCGTCCACCCGGCCACTTGTTTTCCATATAAGACTTGACAGGAAGAAAGAGAAAGGACCTTGGTGAAAATAGGCACAGCAAGGTGAACCACTGCTGTCGCAGAGACAGAGCTGTGCTTTCCATGCATCACTGGCTCTAACACCAAAACAACCTGAAAGAACAGAGATGTCAAAGAGCTACTAGCAAGGCCAAGTAACAAGGAAAATACAGCAAAATATAAACCAAGCAACAGTCAACTCCTCCGTGGATCTTCTCAGCAAAAAAACAGACTTAGAGTTCGACACAACTTAGCTGCCAGTAGTTCAATAAGTTCAGGGTGGGGGCAATCACTAAATATGAAAAGATTAACAACTAATTAAAAAAACCCCCTTTTACTAGTACAACTCCCACATCAAGAATTCAGCATGGAAAAGATAACCAAACTACAAAAAAGCCAACAACCAAAACCAAAAAAAACCCCCACAACCCAAAGATAACTGAAAATGAGTAATGCTAAGTAATTATAACACCTTATTATTCTTGTAACACCACAACAAGAGCAAGATAGGCAGAGAACACAAATTGAACAAGCCCCCTGTTCAGTTCAAAACAAGAGTTGAGGGGAACATTCAGCTTTCATTTTATGTTACTTTGATCATTTTTGAAGCAGAGACAGAACACAGATAAGGCTGCTGGGAAAATCAGCTGACAGAAGATTGAAATTAAGTTAGTACCTTAATGATACTGGTGTATTACTCTATTTGCATAGACCTCTCTTCAAATGTAACTATAGATGCATCTTATAATGAGAAAGGTTCTTTGCAAGGACTTGACAAAGCATGAAGTATGCCAAAGAGCACTTTTAGAGCAAAAGGGCTGTTTTTAGAATTCATACAAACAAAATAACAAGAGCTACAAGTTTCAAACAAGCCAGGAGTGCAGATAACTTACAGTACGGTCACCGAGAAATTAAACAGCTCCCTGGGTCCCTGTTTGGTGGAGCTGCTACAACAGCATACCTGAAACACTATTAACCGCTTTAAACTCTTCTTCCTGAGAAACCTCACACTAGAAACACTAATGTGATAACGTGTACCAGAGATAAAATCTTTCACAGACAACTCTATCAGGTGGGTATGGCCCCCTCTTCAAACAAACAAACAAAAAAATCCATCCTGACAACTGTCTATCTAGATGAATGGCAGCATTACAACCTTCAGATATTTATAAAGCTTTACAAAGCCTGACAACTGTAATTACTTCCCATTAGAAACTTCAGAAGTGTCTTCCTCATATGATCTCCAGAAGCAAATGTTTCTAAATTTGGTTAGATCTAAAGAGCCAACTTTGAACGCACGGCTTGAATTATTTCATAAGCACATAGATTTGAAAGGGGACAAAGGCAGAAAGTTGAAGCCCTACAAAAGGCAACCTGTTTAATAACCCTGTTGATCAGCTGAACACAAAACCCTCCTCAGTGAGGCTATCAATGAGAACAATTACTTCAGTGAGCAAAAAGGCCATTTCAAAATTCAAGTTCACTCTTAACCGTTTCTGACAGATCGATTCCTTCTGGGCAGGGACTATTATCAGCAGGAGGCGTGTGAACCTGAGACAGAAACCAACAGCACGTGTTCCACACTTATCCTCTTCCTACAGCATTCTGAAAGCCAATACTTCATCCCTGCTGTAATGCTACGATCTGCATTTCCCAGCTCAACCGTATAGCTATTCAGCTAACTTCTTTCTTGCACCATCAGACGATATGCACGCCATGATTCAGAAACAGTGGAAGTCAATGGCTTCGTGAGAGTTGTAAATGTAATGAAACCTCCTTTAAAATCTTAAGTCAAGAATTACATACACTCCAGGATTTGTGCCACTATAATTTTACATTCAAGTTCATCTTGCAATCTATTAAAGCATCCTGAAATAAAACAGCATTGGTGTTACCACCTAGTACTGTTTCACCAGAAGTTCTTGGGCAGGGGTGGCATCTCAGAAAAACCAGGACTAAGCTTTCACTGCAGAAGCTGAGTTCTGCTCAACCATCACAAGTAAAGGAAGTTTGACTGCAAACACCTTTAATATGAATACAAAATTCACATTGGGTATACATTCTGGGGAACATAAATGAACTATTACAAGAGATTCTGACAGAACAAAAAACATAAAGAAGGCTCTGTCAGGCCAAAAATTTAATGAGGAATGATTAAAAAGTTTGATTTACAGTTACATTACAGTTGTGTTAAGCACTGAAAACATTAAGAATGTCAGCTGAAAGGCATTTGAACGTACAGTACATAAATCATACAGTCCACACTTGTAAATAACATATCTGAAGTATTTAATTTTACTTAATAGAACACAAAGCAACACAACATGTGCAAATGAGGACTCCAATATATTGAATTTAAAATATATATGATAAAATTGACATAGAACTTTACTTTTAAGGACTACATGACTGATGGAGAAATTAAAAAAAAAGTATCCTCCATGTTACTCCCATTACCAAAGTATGCTTTTCAATTAAATAGAAAAACCATACTGGCCCAATTTCCTTGGTCAAAACCGTATCTGTTCATGAAGGTTAGCTAAAGCTTTAACTCACTCTAAGCATACAATGAAATAACATTTACACAGTCTCCTTTCCCTTGTTGGGAACTGACAAACCATTACGTGAAAGGGTTCTTCAATTATGTACACTGGTGGAAAATATCTTATAAAAAGGCACATACCTGTGATTTAAGGCTAGTATGGTATTCATTTCATAGAGAAAGTAAAATTTTAAATGAAATTAGTACATTGCATGGTTGGCCTCACTCGGCAAACCACTTGGTGCAAAGCAAAAATGTGTGCTTAGAAGCCTCAGACTGACAGTGATTCTTGCTTTAGTGTTTTTTCTTTGTTTTTTGAACCTATGTTGGAAAGGTACATTTTTTTTAAAAGGCGTTTGCTACAATTCAACTAGTCAATGAGCCATCTGCTGTTATTACCTTAAATGTAAATATTGCATATAGGCCTTATTAATAATATGCAAAATATTCTTTTAGCTCTCTCCTTTTTAAAACTCATATGAAAATTACTAAAGATGTTTTCTATACTCATCTATAAAATACCAGATGATGGTACAAATCATGTAAATCTCCATTTGGAAATATTTTGACTAGCCACCAAAATGACCAGAAATCACAAACATCGTTTGTCAGTGCAAATCTATAATAGTTCTGTTTCCCCTCCCTCTCTCCCTCCCCCACCCCAGTTACAGAAATAACAACCAGCCTTTACATACAAAAGGAGTGCTCTATATTTGAAACATCAGAAATTATGTTTGGTTACCTTAATCACTTTACCACCAAATTCAGTTTTACAGTATTACAAAAGAGGGGGGAAAAATTAAAGCCATCTGTGCAAGAATCACTACAAGTCCTTCAACTCCAACCTTTAATTATCATCAGATTTAAAGATTTTAGGTTAACGTTGGGTGCTCTCATCCAATTACTGTTCTTCAAGCCAGGATGGGGCATCTGCTCCAGGAGTTTTCAATTTGATGTGGAACTGTTTAAGTGTCTGTTCAAGCTGCTTTTGATTCCCAGCAAAGTATGCCGCAATGGCATTGTGGAACAGAACAAGCTGATTGTGCAATACCTTAACCTGCAGGCAAGGAGAGAGGTAGGTTAAGAGAAGGAGGAGGCAGTTATTAACATCACAGGTCAGTTATAAAAAAAAAATAGGTGTATTTGATATGCTCAGACTTCATACGGGTTTATTTAATAAAAGTTTAAAAATACAAATACAAAATGCAAATACAAAATTTTTTAATGCTAAAGTGATTTAGAGTTTTCATAAAGTACATTCATAATACCAACTCACTAAGCAGTGTAATTACAAGTACTCAATTCCTTGAGATTAGATGCCAAACCTTTGTTTAAGATACCCTACCTGCACGCCAGATGGACTTCCCTGAGACAGGACAAATTGAAACTCAAATTGAAACTGATGGGTTTTTTTCCCCCAGCCATATTTCTTGCCCACAGGATTATTTAAAGCACTTTGGTCTGTATCTTGACTATAACATTTGTGCAAAGTAGTTGTGAAACAGAGTTCATAGCAGCAATCAACCTGGAGAGAACAGCTCAAGAGCAGCTGAAGGGCATCACTGTTTTTCTCTTCCAGTCCAGCCTAGGTGACAAGCTACAGCACTGACAAAGCCAAACAAATGCTACATTTTCACACCAGCAAACCTCAAGTTGTGAATGATGAGCAGTTGGGAGCTGAAAAGGCATCCGTCTGCTTTCTCCTGCAGCCAGCACTCGCCCTTTTTGTTCCTGAGTGTACTCTCAGCCCAGCACTGCCTCACTCTCGTGTCCGAGCCCAGATCCCTATGGTGGTGGCCCTGCATCTGGTTTCAGCCTACGAGACCTTGTCCCAACAGCATTTAGACAACACTGAAGAGAACGGAAGAACAGACTGGCTGATGGAGCCCAAAGGGAGGATGTGCTAGGCAACAGATTAAGCTTTCTCCACTCAAGGTCTGGATCACTGCCTCATCTCTCAGCACAGGGGACAACCTACTCCTGTCATACTGGGAAGCAAAACCATCCTCGACCCATGCCTACCTTTTGGCAATACCTGTCTGAACAAGTTATTTGGCTAGCAGGCTCTTCAAAAATGCGTGCGACTCAATACAGAAATACTTTATTGCCTTCACTTAAAGTATCTCGCATTTTAAAAAATCCAACATGTATTAGACATGCTATTATGCTAGAACTGGGTAACACTTACGCTATTACACAGAAACACAATATATTTTTAAAATTGAATGCTTTTGAGAAAAAAGGGCTGAGCATATGTCTGCGTGCATACATGCACACAAGGTGTATATGAAAGATGTAGCACTAAAGTTGAAATTTCTTTTATGAGTATACAACTATTTTAATATCCTTTTTTTACTGAACAGTCTCATTTCACAAATTAAGTTCTACCCATAAACTGACAACTGTACAGACATTAGTATCCTACTTAAGTGATAATCTCTTTTTGATGATACAAATCTTGGGTTGAAAACTGGCATTTTTATGTTTTCTCTCCCAATAATTCAGGCTAATTTAACTAAATGCATGTCAATGAATAGGCTTTTTGCCTCATTAATGGAGTAAAGTGGTAGGTTATTCCATCAAAAGGCTCTCCAAGAATAAAAACCATGAGATGTGTATATGGTTGGAAAGGAACTCACTCTGCACATTGTATCTCGAGACAGTGTTTTGTTCCTTTACAATAGACTTCGCAAAATTCATCACACACAGACATTATAACATTTAGGAGATACCGAATTTAGCTAACTACATGTGTTCAACAAAGGTAGTTCAGCTTTTCCAAGTCATAAAAGATGGCCTCTATTTCAGTTTGTGTGGGAATATATATATAGAAATACACGTCTTTTAATCTACAAAAATTTTCATCCCCAAAGTATTATGTCACAGAAGTGGAAAATGTCACAACCACATAAAGGTTTAACTCTTAAAATTTCAGAGAGCAAAAAAACTTAGCAGGTAGTCTTTCTTGAGCAGATTCTTTCATCATTTGCACACAAAAGACTCATTTACACACAAAAGACTCCACACAATCCACGCCACGATCTGCACACAGAGGTACACTCACTGTTCCAGCACGTTACTAAAATGCTACAGGAGTTTTATTCATACTGTTTATAGGAGCTCAATTAAAACCCATTTTTCCAGCCCAAGTTCATAAATTGGAGACCAAATTTGATACTTTGCTAGTGTAGCTTTTAACACAAAGCTTCTATGACCTGCCCTGAAGTCTTCTGACAATTTTAAAAATTCAGTCATTCCTAGGCTCCAGTATACTGAACACACAGAAAGAGGCAGTAACTGACAGTGTAGAAGCACATGATTCAGACTGAAAAAATGTTTTGTTTCGGTGGGGTTTTTTTGAACTGCCAGAGGTTCTCTCCCCAAGTCAGATCATTGCAGTGTAAATTTTGTGATCACTATCAAAGTGGTTGCAGAGGTTCAAGGTGTTACAAATTCTGCTCTCCTCCTCCAGAAGCAGATTGCTAAGTGAATCCTGAAATTCCATAGCTTCATTCAAGTAACTTCAAGATTTAAAATTTAGAAAAAGCCCACTTAAACTTTCTAACACCATACAAAGAAGCTCTACTATGAAGCAGCTGCCAGCTAAGAGAAAAGAGAAGCTGTATCATCTCAGATCACCTGACGTCCACTGCAAAAACACCTGCAGTCGCAGCTAAGAACTGGATGACAAGTATTCATTTAAAACCAAGTTCAAACTTAACCAGTCTCAGCCTTACCCACCCCTGTAGCCAGCCATTGATTCCTCCTTCCACACTACGCTTCACCTTAGCCCTTGGTTGGCAAAACATCCATGCAGTTATGTAGCCAGTTGGATCGGGGAACAGATCTAGATTAAAACTAACCAGACAACAACATATTTGCTTGAACCTGGATCAGTTCCCCAATCTGATTCCCTGCACAGCTGCAAAAACACTTCTGCAAACACAGCACAGAAGGCAGCGTGCGGGAAGGGGGAGAGAGGATGAAGGGACCATAGGTTTTTTTGTGCATCAGAGCCTCAGAGTGACTGTCAGATTACGGCACTAAAGGCCAACTCAGAGCATGAAGCTGTAGCACCTACTCCAGTAAAAGAGTGTTTGAAGAGTTGCCTTTCAGTAAAAGAATGTTAATGGTATGCTGCCAAAATGCAGGTTCCAACATCCAAATAGCATGCCTGTCAAAAAGCCATCACGTTCTACAATTCAACATCATTTAAAATCATTGTACCTTATTAATTAACTGTGTGCACCTATTTGTTCCTACTTAGAAGCAGACTAAGCACTCTGTAATACACTTGGTGAACCTAAGTCTCAAAACAAAACTGAACTTGGTGGACAAGCACAAAAAATAGGCATGCCCTAAACAGAGGGCTTAAGTTTCACACACAGAAGATACTATAGGTTGGATATGAGTCTTTACATTTCCTTTGGATGCTCTTAACATTTCTTTTTAAATGCTGTCCTCTTCCCCACACCTCCCTCTGAACATTATATTTTCCGTGGCACAAGTACAGATTTCTTTACGTCTGCCTCATTCAGACTGTTTCAGCCACCTCAAAGACCAAAATGACTACCCCGATCCTACTTCTGTCAGTCTGTACTTCCTCACAACTACCATAAATCTTTTCCCTAGCTAACTTTATTTGAAGTTATTTCACCTAAACACTTATATCATCTGAGTTTCCTTTAGCTTGTGTATTGTTTTCATTTATAGAAGCAGTCAGTTAAATATCAAACTCCCAAAGTTCAACTCAGAGAAGTACATTCAATTTTTTTCTCTACACAGAATGATTTGACATTTCTCAAGTGCATCTACGAATAACAGTTTTGCGTTTCTCAAAAAGACAACGCCTTTTCAAAAACTTTTCAGTGGCAGAAATCTTTAAGCTATGAACAGGCCACCATCCTTATTATGAAAAAAATAAATAAAATTAAGGATTTGTAAGTCACAGATTTTGATTGTAACTGTTGTTATACTCATTACCCACAAACTTCTACAGAACTCTGCCACCTGGGGATAGCACCAAATACAACTTTGCAGCAACATTAAAAAAAAATAAAAATAATCAGTTCTAACTTCAAGATCAAATGCTATAAGGAATACAAACAGAAATCTTGTATATCTTGGTTTTACGGACAGAAACTCGCAATGTCAGCTTTACCGTGATGCAGTCCTTTGAATCTCTGGGTCTTTTAATTGAAATAGTAACATGAACACAGGAGAACAAGCACAAAGTGACTGCAGCCAAGTGATTCCTTTTTTTCCTAAACATCGGGCCAGCTAGATTACGTCTGTTTGGTGACATTTGCATCAACATGGATCAACTGGAGCCCACTAGCCAGTTAAACTGGCTTTATAGTTCCTTTGCAGTGACAGCCTGAATCACCTCACAGTCTTCCCTGCTCTCCTTACATGTCACGATTAACTAAATATGGGACAAAACTCTTGAGTGAGAATGTAACTGTGTGCATCTACTGCAGGTACACTTACAAAAGAACACTTAGAATCCTGTTTCGACATTAATTTGTCAGGCAAAAATATGTAACTTTTTTTTAGTGTTTAATATCGGTCAGACTGTAAAAATATTTATTGGGAGATAATAATGAACTGATTTATCTAATCTGAAGTTAAACCCTAAACTGCTTAACTGCTTTGCAATACCAAGGTTTTATTACACACTTTTGTCTTCAACACAGAAGTAGTAACAACAACTAGGTTTAAGACTACATTGTACTACATCCTGTATCAATATTTACAAGACTTGAAGCCCGAAGGTTTACGGTCTACAGCAGGAAAATTATATGGATACTGTACTATTTTCTTACCTAAAGAGGCTTTTCTAATTAGACTCCTAACAAATATTAATTCACATCTGGATTCCGCACCATGAGAATACGTATTAATAAAGTTGATGACTGAAGATTTGCATCTTATATTGTGACCTAAGCCTGGCAAGGCCATACCTTGATATAACTGCTCAAACGCTACCTCTCCTTTGCCTTGAATGCAGTAAGCCTGCGACAACACAGGCTTTTTAAACCAGGCTACAGAAAGGCCCTTTGTGAGAGACTGAGCAAACCCGCTATTGTGTCCATCTAATCTTCCCTTATTTTGATCTTGCATTCTACTAAATGGTCTTGGGGACAGACACACAAAATGGCAAGTTCCTGTTACTAAGAATACAGTATCGGTACAGCCAGTATAATTCCCTCCCTGGGACTACTGTCACAGCGTAACAAGATTAAAATCGCCCTTCCACCTGGGAGTTCAGCATCAGATCTGGTCTTAAGTTTAAGCCATCCCCTAAACAACTACTCCCACAGCTGAAGTAGCTGCGTTACAGACACCCTGTGTGCTCTTTCTCCTTTCTTTCGTCTCCTTCCTGTTATGCCCATGCTGTATTTATAGATGTTTAAATTATTGCAGATCATAGCAACAGTTATCACGTACCTTTGGAAAAAGCAGAACATCTGAGATTAGTAAATCTAACAAATTAAAAACTCATTTCTATACTTACTGACCCTATACTTACTGAATTAATAATCCTACAAAATATAAAAAGTAATTGACTTAAGAGCAGTCACATACACTTTTTATGCAGCCAAAAATTAAAAGTAATGTCTAGAATGGTTAGATATAGTAGTCTCGCAAGTCAGTTGTGCATTCCAGTTTAATACCAGCTGTAGGTCTAACAGCAGCTCCCCTCCATTGACATTAATGAAAAAAAACCAAAACCCAACCAATGACACTAAAAAAGGTAATAAATACGTCAGATTGGTAAGAACACCAACTCCCAGATAACCACTGTCGCCCATTACACCCCAGGAAGTGTTCTGGGCCACAGAAGAATAAAAACTATCAGAAGAGAGATGCAAATTAGAAGGGGGGGAAAAAAAAAAAGCACTCCTCAAATGAAAATTTAGGATTAGGATTAAGATTACTTATTGCTTACTATGGAGAATCCTACACAATAAATAAAACACAGCAAAGTAAAGCTTATCCACATAAAGGTCTCAGTAGATAATTATGTTCTCTCAGTAGAGAATTGTTTTTAAGCCAACATTTGACTGTACAAGAAGTCCTTTCTATGGTTTACTTGGGAATAAAATTACATATACCCTTTAGTAAATATTTTGACATCCCTAGTGTCAAAACTGAGAAATGCCAACCAGTGATAAAAAGGCTTAAGCATGTGAAAGTCCCCTCTGTATTAATCTAAAAGAAAAGTCAGGAAGGAAAAAACAATCTCTTTCAGAAACAAAATTTGTAGGCTGTGACTTCTAACAGGATACTTGAACTAATTCAAGACTGTCCCTAGGAAGACAACTTCACTACTGTTCCTCGAATTATTCAACTTTAAAAAAACATATAGAAGCTTCTTTGTACAAGATGGAAGTAAAATGCTCTCACTCTGAAGCTTTCCTATATGTATAAAATATATGTGTGAATTGATCACTCTGCTATATAGTTGCAAACTATGATGAAGCAAGGTTAAGAGCTATTTTCGATCACTTTGAACTTAAGTATCAGAACTTCCATACAGGCATAAGCTGGAGGGGTCAAACAATTTCAACAGAAGTACATTACATTAGTAGCAAACAACTTACTAGAAGTAGAAAAGAAAATGGGGGGGGGGAAAGACACCTTCACAGTATACCTGTTTTCAACCTAGAATAATTTCAAAACTCAGCTCTTACAAGTGTTTTCTAATTTAAGCATAAGTAACAGCATTTAGGTTAGACTTTAGCTTGTTCAAGAATATTAATTTCAATATAGACTTTTTCAGTTGGAAAGTTAACAGGCTACAAGTTCAGCAAGAACAACGAATGAAAATCAGGACAATATCAGTTTTTAATCATCTGATGACCTGGATCATTGACGCTAAATGCCTATGTGATTCCAGACCCCTGGTCCTAATGCAAATGCTTGTATGAAGGAGTTACTTTTTAGCATATATTCTTTTGGAAACAAAAAGCTTTGTTGATTTTCTCTACTTTTGTATTCTTATCTGTTGATGCTTCATGTTTCTTCCCTATCTTCCATCTTCATTCTAAGCAGCTGATGCAACTGAGTATGTGATAATACACTCAAGAATTCAGAATAATAATCAGTTTAAATTGGGTTAGCTTGTCCCCATGATTTTCTATTAGAGTCTCCATCTTCCATGCAAGGAGCATGGTTTGCTGCTGCTGTAATTTGGGGCCACTCCTGTATTTTCTGACAGGCTGTTGTTACCTATAATCAGATCTTTCTATGAATTAACTCACACCAAAAATGTTAATCCACAGTCAAGCACAAACTACTACCTTGAAGACACAGATTATTATAACCATTTCACATACTGAGTATGAACAAAAAACAGATCTTGAAATACCACCATTTTTACATCTATTTAGAAACAATTTAGAAGGACCTGTTTATCAAAGAAACCACTGTTTAGAAGTGTGTTTTGTATGGCAATTCCATTTTTGCCGGGTAAACAGAATAACAGGGGGAGGAATCCCATCATTAAGAGAGTATAGATGAAATTATATGGTTGGAATAAACAGATGTGGGGGAAAAAACCCCCCCAACCTTCAAACCAACAGAGGTCTGTTTAGAATTATGAAACTATAAAGGCATTAATTATATAAAGTTGTATTTGTCAGTTCAAGTTAGTAAAAAAAGCTTAATCTTTGAAGCATCTTCATTGTTCTCCACTCTCTGTGCATATCCTCCACAACAGTGTTGTCAAATGTAAGTATTACTTTGCAGATATATCAGTAGTTACATGACTCACTCTACCATTAAATGTGATAAACTGGAAAAGTAATGCTCTTCCAACTTGAAACCCTTCATATCAACAAGAAACGTACTACCATAATGTTTGCCATCTGATTAGGTACTTTTAAGGTTGCCTGCTCTTAAAGGGTGTCCTCCAGTGACAGAGTAAGAATTCAGAAAATTCAGCTTATTTTGTTTAAGATCTAATAACAAAACTATTTCTAGTAAAGCAGAAATATTACACAACGAAGCTCCTAAACACCACATCAGAAGTTGTAGCTTACCTTATTCTCTTCCAAAAATTTCAATTTGACAGATACATCATTACGCATTTTGTCATATTTCTCTTTATGCTGTTGAAACAGTTGTTGTGATTGCTCAATCTTTGGAAGAGTGTTTGCATCACGAGGGCCAAGATTCAGCTCTTCTAGATCCGTTCGATAGGCATCGTATTCAATCCTGAGAAGCGGTGGAAGGGAAAAAAAATAATTTAAAGGCAAAGTCTCTATAAACAGAGCTCACATACAGGGTCAAGTACAGCGGAAGATCAACAAAAGAGTTAAATATGGAAAAAAATAAAAAAAAGAGGAAAGTTTATTTTCCCCTCCGCCTGTTCATCAAGCAAAACCACCCCTAAGTATCCTGTATAAAACTGTCACTAGTACCCTCCCTCTTCTGTTCCTTTCTCAGCCACACGCTTTTTGTGCTGGCTTCAGTGGTCAGAGCCTTTTCTGGCACACCTCTGCTTATCAACCCAGAAAAAGTTAGTAATACTTTCTTTTCAGGTTATTCTTCTGCTGTTCAATCAATTTAGCAAAGAGGCTGTGTTGACAGCAAGAGAAGCACCAAAAGCAGAACATCTCCTTTAGCAGATGTTTGAGCAACAGCCTCCTTCTACCAAATTTCATCTTGAGGCTTTCTCAGAAAGCTTTTCTCAGCTCTAGGCTTCTCAGTAAGCATTCATTCATTGGAACAGCTTTATAGGTCTTTCACAAATAGTTTTGCACAAACTTGTCTGCCCTATGGATAAGCAGGATGCAAAAGATGATGCATTATTTATATTCTGAGGAGGGCCTATCTTATTTTCCTAGGGAAGTCAGACTCTCTGGATCAATACCACCACTAAAGGAGATAAGGGAAGAGAAAGACAGAAGGTTAAGACTAACAGCTAGGTAAGTATTTAACCTAACTCTGCACCAAAGGTATATATCCCACTTCTAGATAAGACAGATGAAAAGTATTTTCTCACGTATCCTTGATATTGCTAGCAAAACCAGAACTGATGTTATGGTATAAGCTCTCACCCGCAGATCCCTGACAATGGCTTAATTGAACCAGCTAGTCTTCATATACCACTCGCTATTAAAAAAGTTACAAACCTCCTTGATATCCTTCCATATTAGACTGTATCATTTTATTACATGAGTAGAGCTGAACCAGTCATATCCTCTTTCTCATTTTAACGGAAAAAATCAAAATGCCTTAAAAGTATTGTTTAATACAGAAGTTTGAATATTCAGTTTTGCCTTCAAAAACATTACGGGTTTTCGTCTTTTTCAAGGAAGTTTAAGTTAAGTTTTCTGTTAATCAACACATCACATTTTTAAGTGGGAAAATGATCTGTGGAACATTAGTAGTTTAAAGATTGTATCACTAAATTCATCTTCTGCTTTCCAGTGTTACATACAAGTCTACAGAACGCTGGATCCTTGCCAGATAAACTTTTTCTGTTAATTTTAAAACATTGTTGCAAGTGGATGATACAAATGCAGTAACAGACTCTTTTTTTTTTCCCTCCTCTTACTTGACCAGGTAAAGTAGCAGACAATAGCCAGAAATCACTCCCAGGTCATGGGCAGCCCTGCCCAAAGCCTTACTCTTCTTTTCAGACTTTTTTGTAGCTTTCAGATAATGGAATCTCACATATCAGTATGTGATAGATGCCAGTTTTAATAGAACAAACAAGCCTATTCCTGGCTTTTCAAATACGCTTTCTCACAGACATTTCTAAAACTGGAAACAAATTGGGATTAAAAACCAGCTACAGAAAGAACTTATCAGGTGGTATGACTGCTCCAAAATAAAATATAACATTTTCAGAGTAATATTCACAGGGTTCTTCCTGATTCTCATCACCACTATGATTCAGGCTTTATGAGCTTATGACTTAATTCCAAAAAGAAAACAAATCAACAGAGATGACAGAGGAGGGAAACTGATGAATTATGAATACTCAAGTGCAACTGGGGACAGGGAAGAAGAGGCACAGAAATGAATGTGGCCTATTTTCACATTGCAAAATGAGGGGCTGGCTATGTAAATGAAGAACTTCTGACATTTCTTTGTCTTAATGAAATGGTAAAATACTTGATGTCTTCAATAAACAGACAGGGAAAGTAATGAAGGTATTTCAGAAGGGAAGAATCATATCTTGAAAATGACTGGCAAGAACAATCATAACAGATATACTTCATGTAAGTTTTCAAGAGGATACCTGGAAAATGTGTGAACCGGTTAATTTTTTTAAAACAGTTTAGTGTCAAAACCAAAGCAATATATTATATTCTGTCTTTTGCATCTTTTGAAAGTCTGCCTAAATATCAAACCAGTAACTTACTATTTCACTTACAAGTAAGCATTAGAACAGAACAATTAAAAAAAAGGGAGGGGCAAAACTTCAGAACTCAAGCAATTTGCAATTTCTTACTTAAAAAGATCACAAAAAATATATGCATAAACTACACCCTTTGGTAAATTAAAAGAAACACACTTTATCCTATTAAGTGAAAGAAAGCCAGAATGGAACCAAGCATCACAGAAGACATGTCCAAACCCTGGCAGGAAAACAAAACCTGGCTTTAGAGTACTTTGCCACATCTGACAGTAACCTTCTCTAGGGCAGGAAATCCATCATCTAATGTTACATGTTATTCACTCACTAAGAAGTTTCTTTTTTATTTTCCCCTTTTTGACCAAGCCTGCAACTTCTGCGTAAACATTGAAGTGTGAATTGCACACACTGCGCATCAACAGAAACACACGATTACATGTTTTCCAGTCAAAGTGATTATTTTACCTATTATAATGTAGATGGATAAGAGGGTTAATACTGCACTGCCAAAGCAAACTTAGAAAGCCACCTTAATCTAGCACACAGTAAAAGACAGCTATTACTCCTAATGCTAACAAATAAAATTAAGCCTATAATAGAACATTCGCAAAACATTTCAAGATACGTGCAATGAAGCAGTTAATTGTAAATCCTAATTCTAAGAGCGTTGTAAGGTTTTTCACCTGACAGGTCAGTCACTCCGATATAAAGACTAAGCTGCTACAAAGTCTGTTTCTTGAGGACTAGTTTGTAATGAAAACAGCTAGACACAGAATAGCTACCTGGCACTTTCATACTGTTTCACAGTCAATAACGTATCTTCAATTGTTTTATTCACCAATGTATTCACACTGGCAATAAAAAAGTTAATAGCCCCGAGCAGAGTTTCTCCATTTTTAGCTAGAAGTTTCTGCGTATCTGCATTGTAGCCAAACTCCTCCTATAAACAAAGAGGAGAGAAAACAAAACTGTAGATCATTTAAAACATAACAGTCATCAGCAACTATACAAAAAAATACAAACACACAGATGTGTCGCTTCTGTTTGGGTACGGCTGTGCTTAAACAGATACAATTTCAATACAATATTCACTTCACGTTTTTCATGAAATCTCTCTAACATCAGTAAAATACTGTTTACACTTTTCTTAGCAGGCATGATGTTAAATCCTATTTTATAATGTGATTTTTATGCACATTAAAGTGTGCATAAAGTCTTATTGTTACTTAAAAGCAAGTGCCAATATAATCTTTACATTGTCATTCAGCAGTATTTTAATTCAGCATCTCTCATGTGGTTATCTAGGTAATGCTTTAATACCAAGAGACATCACTGCATTAAATACAGCAATATAACTAAATCCACAAGGTCACACAGCATTAATTAGCTATTTAAGTTTTATTCTTACATTCTGGAAAAGAGCACTGCAACAAACTCCAGCATCTATCACAATTTTATATGCTGTAAATAACTGAAAAGCAGAGCATTACAACAGATAGCAAATAAAATTATAACGTAGCTCAGCCACAAATTTTAAAGGGACAAGGGCGAAATTACTTGCAAGGCATTTCAGTCACACTGGGACACGTGTTTGTTCCTCTCTTTCTGTTAACAGCAGTGTAAAGCCTTGACCAAGGCTGCAAAGATTTTCCTAATGCAGGGATGCCAAACGAGTCCAATTATTATGTTTATGTCATCCATATGGCATCTTCATATTCTGCAGATGGGAGCTCTCACAAAAGAGTACAATTCGGGTTGTAATGGCTGTAAAACACACTAGGTTCCTAGTTGGAACTTGGGCTTTTTAGGCTTCCGCGCTGCCAACAACTGACTCAGAAGTGCTGTGTTCTCCCAGTTTCCTTTCATCTGTCTAGAACATGAACACCAAAGCCAAATGATACTTCACATTAATGTTAACAACTTCGTAAGGGTAATGGGCAATGGTAAGGCAAGAATCCTGCAGAAAAGGAGACGCAGTGGAAGTGAATATTTGAAGAAGTAAAAAAGGAAGAGAACACAGGGCAAGTATTCATGAGCTAAGCCTGGTAAACACCACTAAGGATCTGTTGCCTTTGCTTTGCACAGCTGCTTGGGTGGCAAAAGCAGTCAGCCAATTCACTGCAGATCGTGCTGAAATAAAAATTAAAAAAAAATAGTCTTTTTCAACTGTTTTTGCTCTAATGTTGCCAGCTGAACAATAACACAAGCGCCAGCACAGGGAAGAAACAGGAGTATACCAGTAGAGACAAAAACAGTAGAAGTGTCTCCTTGGGCAGGGTTTGGTCCCAGCTTTTCCCTCGTGCCGGAGGTCCTCTGAAACAGATCATTGCAGACCCATTGCTCATTGCAACACCACCAATCCACAGGAGGAGGTAAGAAGGATGGGACTGCAGTGGCATGCACTAATAAGAAGCACGCTAGCCACCAAAACTGTCCTTCTACTGGTCTGTACAGTTTCATATGAAAACTTTTGTGTTTTGTCCATGACCTCTGCAGAAACCTCCTACGAAACAGATAGGAAATCCTTTCTGGATCAACAGTTTATGCTCAGTTCATACTCTGTGCACAGGTCAATTAAAATTGGAATTCATCTGTCTATATAATTGGAGGCACATGAGCCTGGAACCAGGAATTATCTTTGTAGCCAAAAGAGAAACAGCAAAGCATTCACATTTAGTAATACCTCTGCAGATATCACATTGAGATCTCATTTGTTACCACATATGAAATAAGAAATATTACCTCAAGAACTGGTGCACGTTTTGATTTAGTTTTTTTTCAAAAAAACAAAACAAAACAAAAAATCCCAAATCCAAATCAACTTATATATAGTTATTGGATTAAACGTTAAAGACTAACTGTTCAGAAATTTTACTTTTAGTCTTAGGCAACAATGCTATCCAAGCATCGCAGAAGAATAGGCCAGGCCACAGATGGTAATACAGTACAGATTAAACAAAGGGGAAACACAAAGAGGAAAGAGACAAACATCAGGCAAGTCTCCAAGAGGCAAAGGTTAGATAATTTTTATTACAGCAGCAGAAACCTTTATTTGATTTTCAGCAACAGCCCCATTCAATAATCTACACAAGAGATGAACGACTGAAACAAATTCCAAGAGCAGTACAAGATGCTGAAAGAACCTGGAAGAACAGTATTCCCACAAGAGGTTACCAGCTATTCATGCAAAAACCCCACAATCAAGAAACAAGAGCATGATGCCAGATTTAATTCAAATTTCAGAAGAAACATCCAGCTTCAGCACATACTTCACAACAATCACTAAATTCTGCCACAAACCACATGCCTATATTTGTGTCAAGAGTAAACTGATTATTAAAACCATATTTTAGCTGATTATTTGATTTCTCAGTGGCTAGAAGTGCTCTACTTTCACAGATTTTAATCTATCAGACTGTAATATTAAAAATTCCCGTACACCAGTGCAGGAATCTCAATTTCTTTCAGCTACCTATCAGCTAAGGTTCCTCTGTACAAGCATGAACTCCACCTCCTCCCTTAAAACTCAATGGGAATAGACAATCATAAAAAGGGAAAAAATAAATAGACAGACGTTTTAAGTTTAATAATCACAAAGATCATTTGGGCCACTTTAGCAGCTACGTTTTAGGGATCAGTAGCTGTATCAAACCGTTTTAACTTAAAAAGTACAGAACAATCAATGTATTATCGGCAATAGAAAGTGCCAACGTTACATAAACTTCTAAACCATGACAACCCAAATGCAGGTATCAAAAGATTGCCTGTCCTGCTCAGCAACTCCAAACAATGCAAGAAGATGTTTATTCCTATAAGTGGCAAAATTCTGATTAAAAAAAAAAAAAAAAAAAAAAAGAAAGAACTTAGAGGTGAAATCTCAGTGCTTAAATATGCTACAGAAAAATAATTCACTCATATTCAGTGTGCACAAATGAAGTAATATGCCCTGTTCTACTTACTTGCAGGCACATTCCCCAAAGACATCCTGTAATTGGAATGATGTAACACTCTGGAACACTCTGAGGACATTTCATTAGAAGTAAAATTAATAATAAAAAGCATTTTCTATACAAAAGAAAGTTGTCAGTTCTTAAGTCCAACCATCAACTAAAGGCAAACATTTAAGAAATAAAGACCTGCAGCAATTTCAATAATTTCCTGCACTTTTAAGTGAATTACATAAGCTTTTAACACAAAGAGCATGTAATTTATTGTTAACTACAATGTTTAGAAAAGTGGCTTCTAACTATTGCATACCCACTATGAGTCAATTAGGCTTTTCTTCATCTCTGTCATTTTATTTAACACTATAAAAGTCTTACATGAAGTTCCAATGATTTCAAACTCAGGTCCGCAAATGCATCTCCAAGTTGCCTTTGGGTATGTACCATCTGGAAGAGTTGTGTGGACAGTGTCTGTGCCAGTCTCAAAATATTTTCGTATTTCTTTTTGTTATCTCTCAATATATCTATTTGAGCTTCTAGTTCCAGATCTACTGTTCTTGAGCCACGACCCAATTTTTCAGAGATGATCTGACGTGTACACTGGGGGGGAAAAATAATTAAATTAGGAAGAATCAAGTATATTCAGGACAACACAGCATACACCCATTTTCAGCTTCAAGGGACATATAATTACACACAATTCTTTCACAATTGCCCCTCCCAATATAAGTTTGCACAACAAACTGAAAAAACAACACACTCTTTAGAAGTTTATCAGGACTCAGCAAGAACAGTTGGACAAGTCTCAACTCCTACTAAGATGAACATTCAGGTTAGCAAATCAAGAGCGTAACTAATTGTTTCTCAAGTAAAAGAACACTTATCTCTTTTCAGGTTTGGTGAACCTCATTAAGTTAAAAGAAGCAACTTAGGCCAGTGCATTAAAGTCAGTTAGTGGGAATATTACTAGAATCATAGAATCATTCAGGTTGCAAAAGACCCCCGAGATCATTAAGTCCAACTATTAACCCTATTCTCCAAATTCACCCCTAAGCCAGATCCCCCAACACCACATCTAAATGACCTTTAAACCCATCCAAGGATGGTGACTCAACCACCTCCCTGGGCAGCCTGCCCCAATGTCTGACTATGAAAAAGTTTTTCCTAGTGTCCAGTCGAAATCTACCCTGTTGCAGTTTGAAGCCATTTCCTCTTGTTCTAGCACTGTTCTATCACCGGTGAGAAGAGACCCGCCCCAGCCTCTCTACAATGTCCTTTCAGGTAGTTGCAGAGAGTGATGAGGTCTCCCCTTGGCCGCCCCTTCTTCAAACTAAACAGCCCCAGCTCCTTCAATTGCTCTCCATAAGATTTATTCTCCAGGCCCTTCCCCAGCTTCATTGCCCTCCTCTGCTCTTGCTCCAACACCTTGATATCTCTCTTGCACTGAGGTGTCCAAAACTGAACACAATACCCTAGGTGTGGCCTCACCAGTGCTCAGTACAGGGGGACAATCACCTCCCTACTCCTGCTGGTCACACTGTTTCTAATACAGGCCAGGATGCCGTCAGCCTTCTTGGCCACCTGGGCACACTGCTGGCTCATATTCAGCCACTTGTCAATTAGAACCCGCAGGTCCCTTTCTGCCAGACAGCTTTCCAGCCACACTTCCCCAAGCCTGTAGGGTCGCACAGGGTTGTTGTGGCCCAAGTGCAGGACCTGGCACTTGGCCTTGTTGCAGCTCACACCGTTAACATTGGCCCATCGATCCAATCTGTCCAAGTCTCTGTAGGGCCTCCCTGCCCTCATGCAGATCAGCACTCCTACCTAACTTGGTGTCATCTGCCCTTATCAAGATCATCAATAAAGATGTTAAACAGAAATGGTCCCAACACTGAGCCCTGAGAACATCACTCGTGACCATCCGCCAGCTGGATTTAACTCCACTGACCACCGTTCTTTGGGCTCATCCGTCAAGCCAGTGCTTTATCCATCAGATCATCCAAGCCATAAGCACCCAGTTTTTCCACATAAAAATATTTGGTTAGTGATTTTTCAGGCTTCGTCTACCAACTATCCAATTCCAGATCATCTCTGTTATTTTCTCCAAAACTGTTATTTTGGGTTTGGTTTGTTTCTTTTCTTTGCATGGTGGAGGTGAAGTGGTTTTCAGCATGTTTTTTGGAGCTGATGAGGAAACCAGGAACTCCTACTGAAAAATACGTAAAACTACTAAAATACATTTCTTACTATTTACACATCTATGAAACGGAGCTGATCATCTCAGAGAGACTTACTATTTGTTTCTGTCACAAGTCAAATTCTTAACAGATCTGCAATTCATTATTACAGTGAGCAGAAAATATGCTCTTAAAAGGCTGTAGACACCTTCAATACAGCCCATGGCTGTGACAGCTCAGGCTGCTATCATGTTCCACCTCTCTGCAACACCTTCTCCATGCTTTTGGTACATAGCCTACATATACAGTGTTTTCAAATGTATGGCATCTCCAGAGACATTTTCACGGTGCTCCTCAACTCAAAAATGAATTCAGAAGGTCTCTCTGAATAACCTTATTCCTCTAAAAGGACGATAGAGTTAGTCAGTATAGGACTCTAGACCTATCTTCTTGAGCATATTTGGGAAACAACAACTTCAAGCTTATAGATTTCAAGAAGACAGACTAATTTACTTTTCTGAAAGTGCTAGTATTTCTTTGCTATGCTGTCACTGGTGGGACTCTGGACTTCAGGGAGGGGGAAATTAAAGCCAAGAAAGAAATCTAGCAAAGATTACTGTTAAGGAAATAATGTTCTAAACAAGGATCCAAGACTACTTTTCCCAACATTTTTTACTAGTGCTTTGAATACTGCTTCAAGTAAGGGGGTTTGCAATCGTGGGGATTTTTTGGTTTTGATTTCTCAACTGAGGCACCAAAAGTAGAAAATAAGGACAAATCATCTCCTATTTAGTTGTGGTATAGCAGACTCAATCCCAAGAGTCATTGTTTCTTAAACAGAGAATTTTATCGAATGGGTTCAGCTGAACAGCATGTATTCCAGTTGGACCACAGCACACGTCAGGAGTACCTGACAAACTTCTGCAGTTATGATGGCAAGATGACAAGAAAAGTAGAAATCTAAAAGCCATTTAATTAGACATATAAAATGATGCAAACTTGTGATTCTAACACAAAGAACAGCATCAATTTTTACTAGTGAGGAGAATGTCTCCACCCCTGCTTCTCATCCTCACAGAGAAGGAAGTCCTTATCTAGCCCTAAGAACACTGGAGGAATTCAGACCTCTGTTTCACCAGGGAAGTTTTTTTCCACAGATTCTTTATTTCTTCACAATCTGATATAGATCCCACTGATGCACAACCCACCTGTCCACACCTCTGTCATTTAAGTTGCAAGTATAACAAAAAGCTATTTTTCAAAACTGACCTTGGTTTGAAACTCCTGACAGTAATGTATTCCCTGACAACTGTTCCTGATCTTACTGGCTTTTTAACGAGAGACATTTCTGGCAAACAGCTGTACCTTAAGCACTTTCTCTTATTCTTTTTTTATTATTTGATTTCATCAAATCCCAAATGACCACAAAGAAGCATCAAACAAGAGTAAAACATGAATCAAAGTAGCAGTTCCAACAGTAAGAAAAAAATCCCCAATCAACCAAGGCAGAACAAAAATATCAGAATAGCCATTTAACAAGTATGGAATTTGTAGATGGGCTTGACTTTTTCACCTCAGCTAAAGTGTTATTCTATCAGCAATCAACTCAAAGATAGCTAAAAGATTTAATTCCAAGCATTAGTGCTGAAATCTATATATTCTATATATTGAAGGGGACCTTAGAAACGGAACATTCTTTACCTTGTTAAATCAGTAATATTTATGAAAAGATCTTCCACTTAAAACTAGGGATTTAGAAAGGCTTACAAAGAATGCTACACTTGGAAAATTAAGCCTTCCCATGTTTATGGTCAGTGCACAACACATTACTTTCATACAGTAGTACACTACTTTGAGAGCTTTAGTGTAATTTAGTAGCAAACTCATTTCTAGAATACATACACACGCGCGCACACATATGCCTGCATACCTTGTAAGTGTTCAGGCTCCACTTTCTCACCAATTCCAATTTCTCCATTGCTGGATTCTTTACTTCATCTGCTAACACAACAGGTCCACTCTTCTGCTGAGCTCTACCCCCTGTGTCAGACACAAAACAAATCTTCAAGGCCTTGTTTTGTTGGTTTTTTTTGTTTGAGGGGATTAATATCAGGTATGGAAGATTTGTGGAACTGCACATGCAAAAGCAGAGTAAGTTGACAGTCAGAATTTAAGACAAATACGCAGATTGTCACAATAAATTCCAGGGGAAAAAATTATTTTATAAATTACATAAAGCATTTACGTATTTTAATTTTTCATATAGTAAGAGGCTGAATAAAGCTTACCTGAATGCATGGAGTTTAAATAGCAAAACTTAAAACAGCTTTTAAGACATGATTATTACCTAGTCTATGTTTTAAAATTCCAACAATGAACACTATCTAAAAGTCTGTTTACAGCCTGCAGACCATTAAATGAAAATTATCTGTACACAAAAACTGTTGTCACAAAGTACAACTAACAAATTTCAAAACTTCCTTTTTAAATCTTTCCCAATGAACGCCATCGTTTCCAGAAGAAGTGTTCCATCGATATTCAACTTACTTATTTTAGCTTTATTAGCTCATTGTATTAGGAATAACTAATGCTAGAAACAACCAGTACAAAAACAGAAACAAAAAAAAGATTTAATGCAGCAAATTAAAACATGTAGGGTCAATCACCACACATTAACTGCCAACATTTAGAATTTTTAAGCTAGTGTGAAATATCATATGGATTCTAAGTTTCCATTTTGCAAAAATACTTCCTAGTGTCCTAGACAGTAAGAGCTGCAAAGCACCATGTTTTAAGTAACATTTTTATTTGCTCACATATAACTTTGACTACTCTTGCCTCTAATCCCTACTGCTACTTACAGTCACCTTGGCCTTGCAAGGTTATTATTTATGTAAATAAGTCTGGAAAAAAGTCTATACAGATGCCTCAAGATACTCGTTTAGCATCAGACTCTACTACGCTCTTTACGTCTTCAAAATGCTGCGCAAACATTAAGTAATTAATCCTCTAAACACCCTTATGAGGTAACTGGATGGGTTTTCTCCTTTTATATAGGAGGAAACAGACAAAGATGTTAAGTAATTTGCCCATAGGCACAAATGAGTCAAGTGGCAAAGCCTGCTTTGGGTGTTGTGAATTCTTAATAGCCACCTCTGCTCTACTGGAATATGTGATCGTTTTGGCAAAAATCACCAAAAGTTTCAGCTTTAACCTAAATAAAAGATTTTGGATTTTCCCATTTTAGCTATTGTTTGTTATTATTAATATCTGGTAATTATTTTAAAAATTTTATAGAGCAAAAAGTAACATACAGAAAGGAAAGCAGAGGTTATTTTGTGAGCTGCTAAAAGCCAGAAATGAGAGCCACCAAAAACCCCCAGAAGTTATACTTCCGACTAACAGTAAATCAAATTATTAGAGACATGAAGGAGTTAGTACAGTGTCAGTAGAGCCAAGGGCGTTATCCATTCAGTGCTGATACCTGTGGGAATAATTAAATCACAACCTTGTCCAGCCAGTCTGCTAGCTGCTGCACTGCTAGGAGATATAACAGATGATTTGGGTGATGCTGAGGAACCTGAAAAGGGGACATATTTAACCATGAAAATCCATCATCTTCTCTTCAAAGGCAATGTGCGCTTTTACACAGAGAGGGTTCATTTTTTTTTTTTCCAAAACAAAGAAGCATTTGCTTCAACAACACACTAAATAGAAAGCATTCACCAAAAAGTTGTTTGAATTTCTAATGGAAATGCTTTGTAAGAGGCGCAGCTGTTCACGTGAACCACTCTGAGATTTCATGACTTAATCTTTTCGCCAAACTTATGCAACTTATAGCTTCATCAATAAAGCACACACTATCAACAGAAAATTCCATGAAAGGCTGTGACATACATCTTCCACAGCTGAAGCCTTCTTTTTCAGGTCTAGGAAGATTTCACCCTGCACTGTCACTGAATGGTACTCACAGCATTAAGGGGTGAAGTAAGCTCTGAAATCTGTGCCAACTTCAGATATACTTGATTAGCATCTGCTCCTAAGTCTGTGTAAACACACAGCAATAAGCTATCCTGAAGATCATACAAGCCATTAGCTGTTAAGGTGTGTAATCTTCTTCCCAAAAGAAAGATTTCACAGCACTTTCTTGTTCTCTTTGAAAAAAAACAAACCCGACTTTAAATGGTCTGCATCGTGTGTGTTCTCTAAGCTGGTTTAGGTTTATGCTTTTCAGGGCTCGGCTACTCTTTCACATCTCATAAACGTGAAGTGGCATTGCTATGAAATTTTGAGGATTTAAAAACCAGTCAAATCTGCTCTTACTCTGTAGCAATGAGTAAACATCATTTTAGGGGGGAGCTTTTATCGTTTTTTTTCTGAGAAATTCTGCGATGCTTCAGGGCTGACAGTGGGCTAGGGGACAAGGAAAGCAAACCTGACCTTTAGCAGTTTCAACAAACTAACACCACAATATCACTCAGCGTAACCGAAGCAATAACCAGTTTTTGCCTTTTAAACATACTCCAGAGCACTGCTAACAGGGGGTACCTGAACGATTTGGATCCAGTTGCACAGAAAAGATGTGACTGAAAGACAGCTCCCTTGCTGCGTCCTTCTGCAGCGATACATTGCGTAAGAGCTGCAACTGGATTCATCCAGGCATAAAAGTTTGACTGCAAGATCCTGCTAAAGGCCTAAAGACTGAATCATTTCAGCAAGCGAGCCAAGACAAGCAGTTAAGCAAAAATCCTTATCATCTGACAGAGTATTAACACAGCCTTATGCTTCGTCATTCAACATCCCCCAAATCCTAAAACTCTTCCCCTCCAGTATTGTCTACTTTGCATTCAAAAATGAAGTGTCTTAGTAAGGACACTCAAAAAAAATCAGAACTTTCAGAAATAAGGCTATCATGCTACTTTTGTAGCTCTCTGATCTGATTAGAGCACTAGGAAAAATTTAAAGAAAATATCCTTGGAAGAAAACTGATAATTAAAGCATTAAAAATTATACATCCAAAGTTCATAATCTGTGTACATAACTTTCTACAGAACATTCATATTTCAAACATATTAGTGTAGCTTGAAACACATTTCCCTTACAGGCTAATGCACTTAACAGCTGCAACGGTTATCCTACTTAACAGAATACAAAAAGGCAAGAACAGTGAGTAGTTTGCCATCTGCCCAGTTTTCAGCTAGATATTTTGCTCATTTCAAAGACTTAAAGAAACCACAGCATTCACTTTGCAATATATGTAAAGTGCAGCATGTAAATCGTTGTTTTCGTAAGCACGGATTCTCAACAAACAGGAAACAAAGCAAAATGTAAATTAAATCTACAACTACAAAGAGGCTTATTTTCACAGCTGCTCATTTGAGATCATTTCAAACCTTTCAACTTCAGAACTTGTCAAAGCTACATAACTCACTAAAATATCGTTTTCACATACTATATTGTGGCACTCTATTGTTTTTAGACAGACAGGAAACACTAACGTTACTGGCTTGTTTATTGCTTTGTATTACTCAATTGTTTAATAATGCTACCTTAGATTCTTTAGACTGTACATTAATACTTGCATAGTGAATTAAACATTAAATAGCTAAAATCCTCCTGCTATAAATACAACTCTGTGTTGAGAAATATAAGAACAGTCACTTTTTCATTAAAGAGTACCTGAAAAAAGAGACCCAAAGCATTATCACTTTTAACACCCGTACATTGAAGTAATACGTGCTGTATAACAAAAAAGGAGAGCTAAGTCTCAGGGGCAACGAAGAATTCTATTCATTAATCTATTCCAGATAAGTGGCCTCTGTATCAATAAATCAGTCATGTTTCAAATCAGACAATATCTGCAACACTTAAAGAAAACTTCAGTGCAACAGAACAGTAAAATTCTTCAGTCTGACACCATTGTGAGGTGGTCAAGGACTTCTCCTCCTGTAAACACAGACCAATTTAACATTACGTAATTTTCACTATTCCCTTGACAGATAGTCAAGTGTAGCATATATTCTCTATTTTAACGACCCAGCTATTGGAGAAAATAGACAGGTTGTCACTAAAGCACACCTCAGTGTTTACATTTACAACAAAATGCTCAACGCAGCCACAGAACATTGTATTCCTGACCATACAAAAACATGCCCAAAGATTTTAAACCTAGAAACAAAGATTACGAAGCAGTTACCTTGACTTGGAAACGGTCCTGCCTCAATGACTCCCTCTTTGGTGCTGTCAAAGCCATGAGATGTTATTTTGGTTTCAGAAAGTCCAAGTCCAACCGGTAAAGAACGTTTCAAGTCCTTGGAAATATTTGAATAAAAATGAAAAGTTCATGTTTAAAAAAAAAGATAAAAGTGACTTGGAAGTATTGTAATGCAATATCAGCAGCTCTCAAGACAGGCAACTCTGCCTTTAGCCTGGAAAGTCTTCACTGATACCACAGCATTCTACCACGACACACAAATAAAACAGAAATAAATGAGAAACACTAAGTATAGCCTGTGTATTCTAGAATTTTCTCTATATAACAACCAGAGTACCCTTCTTAAAGCAGCAGCTACCAAAAACACCGTCCACAAGGCTATGTGGTCTGAAGCTGATCCAACCAACTATATCAGTTTAACAGTGTTTCAAGTAAAGAACTGGCAGGGGTACAGCATAATCTAAGAATGACAATAGACAAAATTTTACAAACCAAAAATGTGGAAGCAACTATGATCATCTTAAAGATTAAAAAATAAAAAATAAATATTTCACTCTAAGAAAGAAATAGCTTTAAAGTTCACAGCATCATTAATATCTACATACAGCACATGAAAGCCCTTTAATATTTGACATGGGAGAAACATCCATAAAGGTACTACTCCAATAGCTTCCTTCTGAGCCCCTAGCCTACATCACTATTGCTTACAGCATAAAGTTGCCATTTATTTCTGTTTGGTTTTGAAACTTGTTGATTTAAAATTGCCCAAGATTACCTCATTTAACTTTTGAGAGATACATTAACTACTACAACCGACTTTCAAGGCAACTGAAGTCTTCACAGAAAGCCAGGGCAGGCCCACTGCCTAATTATGAATTTACACACCATGATTCATAGACAACGTTACTGCACGTTTTTGCTTTCTTATGCACTTCTACAAATACTTCCTAAAGTTCTCCTGGACTATATTTCCAGCCATCTGATTGAAGTTTAAACCTCTGGTGTTATGGATCATACTTGGTGCTTTTAAAAAAAGTTCAGATATTCCAAGCAATTTAAAACTCCCTAATTTGTGAAAGTAAAGTGAGTGAAAAGCTGCTCTGGAAGTGAAAGCAAAACGGTAAAGTGCAGTTAGAAAAAAAAAAATTAGGCATCAAGAACTCAGAAGAACAGCAGTTTCTGGAGTCAGGTACGCTTTTGTATCCCCTTTGCTTCTACACGGAAGCAAAAAGATGAAAAGCTAGAGGAGAGCAATAGTGAAATTTGCAGAGAAAAGCTATACATAGCTTTAAGACATCAGTGCCTGGACATGTGCAGTAACTATTCAGGATATATGCAATGCTTTTAATTACAACCTTTAAATCCAACCCATAGCTGACATATTACTGTAGTCGCTCAATCCACAAGCCAGAAGCAAACTAGTGCCTAAGAATGATACTGCCTAGAGGCTGAGGCTGTCAAGAAGCGGCTTTGGATCACATCCCCACAGATACAGTTACTTGTCTTTAGCTGAAGATAAACTCCTGGGAGAAGATAAAAAGGAAGAGCTACAAACGTAACAATTCCAGCATACACATATCTTGCCGAGTTTGAAAACCCAGGATGCTACTGCAATCAGAGTAATCAATACCTATGGCAATACTTTCAGTCACATAAACTGGGTATTTATTAACAGATTATGCCATATTTGTGTACCTGTAGCATTATATAAAGAAAATAAAGGAAAAATTAACAGCATGAACAACAAAAAGTATTGACATACACTGAGCTCACAAATTAAGCATATCTCAACATCAGATACATACTGTTTTCAGTCTTCACAACTGACTTAACACTGGTATTTCCATTTAAGTACTTGCAGTTGGGGGTATACTGGAAAGCCCTTGCTTCAACTCAGTTTAGCTAATTGACAGAGTCCACTTAACTCACAATGTAGCAAGTCACTAGAAGCTGAAAAAGGAGAGAGACTTGAAAAAGGTTATCCAGATTGCAGAGGAGAAGGTGCACCGATTTAATAAAAAGGACACGGCATCGATTTTTTTTCCTGGGGGCACCTTAGCATGTCGTGTAGTTTTCAGAAATATTTAAATCTGTAGCCAAGCAAATGTAGACAGCTAACCTGCTTAAGCGTGTTTGCAATAGGAATCTAAGCAATCATCTGTATTTAAGGCTGAAATGCAGAACGCTGGCCTTGTAACGACAAAAAGTTTAATTTTAGTTTGAAGCTAAACAATGACTTAAAAATACAGAGTTAGATAAATCAGAACATTACAACACATCCTTCTTCAATAAAAACCTGGTATTTGGATCATGAAAATTATTAAGATCTACAATTATGTATACATACACATCAGGGTTTTTTACATAAATGTATACACATGTACATATATACAAACACATGTTTGTTCAAAGAGATCTCTGCCTTTTTGGCAAAAAGGCAAAGTTCAGTGCAAAGAACTGCATTCACACCTGGTTTTAAACACCTATATTAATCAGTTGAAATATACCCTGCTGAAGTATATGAATTTAAAAGAAAGTTTTTTCATTGGTTGACTTATACATGACCAGAATTGTCATCAAAAGTCAACAATCTAAACACTGCCTTTTTGTTGTTTATAAACATGCAAGTTACTGTCCAGTGGAGACATGCTTCTGCATGTAAACTTCAATTTTTAACCTTGCTTGCAACTGCTTGTACTTGCTTTTTTTTTCCACAAGTGTAGATAAACAAAAAAAGCTACCCAAAAATCTGTAATCATTCTGACAGTGCAGTTTATCCATTCAATAATTTACAAAGAAGGATCATTTAGAAACAACCCCAGACTAAGTAAAGATGTGCAAAAAACTTCACATTTAAGAGAAGGTACAACTGTACTTAAGGCGATTTCAGAGTGGTAAGGAGGCAACATAAATAGCTTTTTTGTTGCCATCAAATGTAGGTTTGCTGTTAAAACACAGGAAGTAGGGACAGATTGACAGATTCCCCTGTTACAATAAGATGATTATATTTTGACTAAGTATTGCTCTTACAGCCACAAGGCAGATTTTGATGGTCTCCTTTCAAACTCTAAAGCGATTTCCCCTCTTCGTTGTGAAAGAGAAAGTAAGTTGTTAAAATTCATCAAAATTTGCTGATAAATTTCAAAACCACAAACCCCTGTTAAGGGACACACACAAAAAAAGCTGCTTCGTTCACACTTTTCAGTTGTATGAGGTTGAAAAATCACTGCAATTACAATGTAGCAGAAATAGTTTCATATTTTAACTTCACTGGGACCTAGAGGTATAAAATACTCTACTACTTGGAACATTCCCAAGAAGTCAAAAGGTTGGATTACCTATCCTGTTCTCAGTCATTTTGCATGCTAAAGGCTCACAGATGGAAAAGCATGAAAATACTGCACTAGCTTAGATAGGGCTAGCCAAGACAGTGCAAACCTATACTGTACAAAGCATTTAAATCACTTTAACCCTTTGTTAAAAACCCATTTTAATTAGTTCAAATCACCTTATTAAACTAAACATATTTTAGTAAGGTTAGCCTTATTTACATGATCAGAGATACGATATTCATCAGTTTATTATACAGATCATCCAGATGAACCAGTATGAATTTTTGACATATCAATCCTGTTGAGACAGCAGACACAGCCAAGAAGCCACTCAGAATGCATGTTGTTCATGAAGGAATGTTGGCAGCATTACAAGACTATTTCCAAAAAGATACTTCCTATCCATGCTATCCATAATCTAAAATTTAAGAGGGGAAAGATACCAGAACTGTATTGTTTCTCCCCTTTGCAGAGACACAGTAGAAACTAAGGAATAAGTATTAATTTTATTAGTTTCTTAGTTTTGTCAGGCCATTATTAATGCATGACTAAGCATCATCTTTTGCTTAGTACCAATAGTAAGTTTAACAGCCATGGTTTAACTTGCTACCTTGAATAAAAGTAATTTAAAACCTCCACATCAGTAGCTAGTTCAAAGTGTTCATTATTTTTTGATGACAGATGACATTTTAAATAAAACTACTCAGGTTACCTTCAGGAAAAAAATCGCAACACATCTTACTGTATAGTTTAAAGTTTTAAAGACGACAAGTGCCATGAAAGAAAAAGTTATGCAGGCAGACATAACATCCATCCAGTACAACAACTGGCTCTGAACTTTAACTCCTTACCCCAGTGCATGTCCAAGTACAGGTCCCTACATGTATTTTGTTCTTCTTTGCCCTATTGTATCACTCAGCTCCCATTTTCTACAAATTAAGCCACTAGATCCTCACATTAATATAAATTCAAGCATAAAATTAAATGGCAGGGGAGCTAAGAGTTTAGCCTATGCTGAAAAACAGCAAACAACACAGACTGGCATTTGTTTCTACTCCCCAATACACTGCTCTTCACTCAGAAGATCCTCTCTTTCCATTACATTCCTATTAACTTACCTGATGTCATACTACAACCCAGTTTTAAACTAGTTTCCCTTCTATTCTCATCATTAACATTCATATTTGGGGGTTTTGAGACTGTATGATGCAAACTTGACAACAAAGACTAATTTTTTTTTTTCCTTCAATCTCCTATAAAAATTTCTAAACTGACACACGGAATATATTTTAAATCAGTCATTAATTAAAATATAATTGCCCAAAGTAAAATTTAACTATGCCAGTCAACATAGCAAAACCTAAAAGACGAACTCAGATGTTTCACGTAGAATGTGAATGACAAAGCTGGCTTTTTTTTCAGGAGGCAAAAGAGGAAAAAAACCTAATTTACCTTACCTAATTGTGCAGCCTGGCAATAAAACTGGAGAACAAGATATCAAACACATGCACTCCCATTCATCAGATCCCAAGCTTATTTCATAATTCTTATAAGACAAATTGAAGACTCACAACAAAGCTAATTTATCTTTTGCAGCCTAAAGTTTATTACTGCTATTACATGGACATGCTTAATAATGGTTTTGTCCCCATAAGTGCACAAGAGCCAGGAGAACAGAGTCTATACTGAAAATTAAAGAAAACAATTCGAACAACAATTTTGGAGAGTCAGATCAATAAGAATTTCATACAGATTTTGTACAATAGCTTAAATATAACAAATAGCTTACAGTTGTCTAAATACCTTTACAGGCAGACCAAACAGTTACTTCACCAGTTTCAAGTATTGCTATCCAGCTTTCACACCATATAGCCTGTTACTGAATTAGGAATAACGTACTTCCTCCCTCTTTCCCACAGCCCTCAGCTCTCAATTCCCTCAGTGACATTAAAACATTGCTACTCTAACCCCATAATTATGCTACCATGGGAAGAAAACTGTTCTAAAAGTCAGCTATAAGTGAAATAAACCAGTGAACAATATAAACCAGCAAGACTTTTCTGCATGTTGAGTTTTCTTGCACAAGGTAGTAAGAAAAACATGTTTGATCAGGACATGAAGCCCTCTGTCATTAAGGCAGACTAACAAATATCCAAGCGTTGGCAAACAGTTCTGCGCATCAAGTTTTTAAAGCATAAATGAGTTCCAACAGAGTTTGGAGAGCTGAAAGGCACCGGATCAAGCTTTTTCGTAATGAAAGGACATTAGACGCTTCATCCAACGATGACTGAAGCTACAGCCTTTTTTAGTTAAAAAAAGTTTCCATCCATCATACGGGCAGGACAAAACTTGTCAGAATTCCACAGGCATCTCTTATTATTACAAACAAGATGGAATTAGAATGTAGCAGCATGTTTCTGAATGAGACTTTACAGTTAAGCAAACACTGATTTAAGTTACTTATAAATATGCTTTTGATTCTTTTTCTTAGACACAAGGAACCAAGAAGATGCACCAAGCAGTGCTGTATCACATTCCCACAAGACTGGAACTAATATGCTTCCTTCTGAAATCACACTACGGCAATCTATGCTGTCTGATGTGCTGCAAAACTTCAAAGAAGGAGCAACCCTACTTGCCATTTCCAGGTAAATACATTTGCACTGCACTGCCTTGCAAAATGTAATACTTCTCGTGCTTGAATGCATAGAAATACCGCACCAGGTGAAAAATAAACATGCATTTTCATGCCTGATCAGCTTATGGATGAGGTCTGATAGAAATGCTAAACAGAATGCAAGACTATAAGAAAGTTTAGTTTTGTAATTAAAGAACTCTGCAGAAAAGGTTGTGTAACTTTACTCAGACTATGAAAAACACATAGTCAAACCTGCTTAAGTGTTTGTGAAAAAATAAGGGTAGAAGACCACATAAAAAATACAGGATAAACGATGTTTTACTGTTTACATTTGAATTGTGCAACATATAGAGAAGCTCCTTGATCACAACAATAAGGAAACAAGAAACTAAAACCAACTTTGCTCCTCAGCTTCCCAAGAAGATTTAATAGAAAACAGTATATTGGAGTTCTCTAAACTCTATTGTGGTTGCGCGCTCTTACCGAGCACTGTGATAACAGCACAACTTAAAATGGTAATGGTTTCTTGTCCCTTTCTTAAGTGAACCTCTAAAATTCAGCACTCGGCTTATCATTTCCATAAGGTGACAGGAAAAAAGATCCCCAAGATTTTGTGGTGCAATGCACATAGCTTTCGGTTAAACCAAAAAATTACCTGGCAAGCTAAAAAAGGGGAAGTATAGCATTAAGCATGAGAAATAACAAACACGAAGCAAGATGAATAGAAGCTAAATATTCGAATTCAAAACTAACAGATTAGTAAACAGACCTAGACATTAATTCCAAGAAGTTTGTTTTTCTTTGTTTTGTTTATAAGAAGTCCTGATTATCACATATTCCGAGCTTAGGTCACACATGCAGGTGTTAACTTGTACAAGACAGTTCAAAAAAATATTTGAAGTGCACTTCATCTTCACTGATCTCAGAATTAAGCACTGCAAAAATAATTACAGCCACAAACTCAGCTATGCTTGCATAGTAAAAATTTTTTGCAACTCAACCAAATATTTGACCCATTTCTGTCGAAGTTTTGAAATATAGTTGACTCCAAGCCAGTAAAATAATTCACATGCCAGCAAAATCTTACTCCAACATTTATATGTGGCCATAGAGAGAAACTACCTGAACATTTTGACTTTCCACAGAAAATGGTGATTATATTTTGACTGAACAAGGGCCACGGACCCAATCAACAAGCATGCAAGTTCCATTTAATGTAAATAATAAGTATGAGGTGCACTACACCGAATAAGTAGTTATTACATAAGGAAAAGATAAGTTAGACAGCGGTCAAGTCACAAGAGCATCAAGGTCATGAGGCTTAAAAATAGTAAATCTGTTTCTCTGCTGCCAGGTGAACCCAAATTCATTACCACTTACAGGTGTATTTTTGTTGTCCCCCTAAGCATAGTCCATCTTTATTGAAATTTAGTTTTAACTTTATTACATTAAACGCTATCCTAATTTTACATTATGTTACTGGTAGACTTTAGTTGAAAGACAAATCTTAAGAAACATAAGCCTTTCCTCATTGCAATGCTATTTGTTAAAAAAAAAAAAAAAATCACAGCTCATTCAGCAGAAGTAGAAAAAACATCCAGTAATAACGGTGTTATTTAATAAGAGCTCTAGTATGGATGCAACTCCATCTCATGAAGTTTAAATTTTTTTTTTTACAGTCATGCTCTGTGTACAGCTAATCTGCAATCATAGTAAAACAGTCTCAGATGTTGTCTCTACGATGTATTTTATTTATTACTTTAAATACATATTTTACATATTTAATTAGCGTTTTATTTTAGTATAATAAAGACATGTTTAAAACTATACTTTATATATACATCTAAATGCTTCTTTTCCTGCTATGAATAAAAATGGATTAAAAATCAGTATCCTCATGGCTTAGAATCAATAACTAGAAACGCATTCACTTAATTGTGCACATACAGACCACCCAATGTTTTATGCTATCAACATTTAAAAAAGATCTGCCACTACTAATACATCTTTCATACAGGAAAGTTACTGCAATGTGCAGTATTTGCTTGTTGCTTTTAGCTAACTTTAACAACAATTCTTTAACTTTGAAGGGGTTTTTCAACTGAAGCTAAAACCAAAAGACAAAATTAGGCAGGTGCTTATTTTACCAATACTCAGGACGTGGTTTTAAACTTATGAAGGTTTCCCTCCTCTACTCAACATTAGTAAGACAAAATAAAATGCTGAAGTCCTGCTCAGTATTCCTTTCAGAAATAATCCTGCACTGCAAGTCAGCATAGTGCTGATACAGTTTAGAGAACTCCTTAAGTTCTAGGTCTCAACAGATATCAAATAAAAGTGGATAATTAACTACTCGTAATATTTCCAACTGAAAAGCAAAATTAAAAAGGACCAACCCCAGATTCCATAAACTATACCACAGCACCCTCTGCTGGACAGCCAAACACAAGAACAACCGATAGCAAAACGTAGGGAGGTTGAAGAATGCAAATATGCATACAGATGACATACAACAAATAAGATGGATTCTGGTACATCTCATCTATACAGCATACAGAAACACGGTGATAATTTTTTTGTTTGAACATAAAAGTAGTTACTTCTCTCCTGTTTCCAATTTCAAATCAGAATATGACTATTTTCCTTTACTTTTAGGCATGTTGCCTCCAAACTTAATGCTCCGTAGTAGTAGTTTACCTTAAATAATTTGATACTTCATATAAAAAATAGGATTTGGTAGCCTGAATTCACAGGACCTCAGTCCTCATTCATTGTCTTGTATTTTAAAAATGCCTGGCGTCTCAATTTACAAATAAAATTGTTGGTATCCTCAAGGATCAGAGAGAACAAAGTAGAAGCACATACACTTGATTGTGCATCACAGAGTAGCCAATTCATTACTTAGAAATATGTGCTACTACTAACATGCTTTTTATACAAAAAAGGTTATTGCTATGTGCCATCACATTAAGTCAATTTTAACAATTATTGTTAAGCTTCAAAGAAGTTTTTTCATTAAAGCTCTAGAAAATTGTGTCAGGTGAAGTCTGCTATGCATTGTATTGCAACTTTAGCATTTCTAATAATGGCACCTTGTGAGACAGCAAAGAAAATTCTTACCCTGTTAAAGCTGTGCTCGTGAGAATCTTCCAGCTGCCCATTGCTAGTCACAGGAATTTCTGCTGCTGAATTTTTGGGAGACTCTTGAGCCATTGCACCTTCCTACAGTATAAAAAAACCCCCAACATATTAGCACTTGTCTGAAATTTCTAATGAGTGACTTATGAAAATATTTGATGTACGGGTTTCATAGCAGTTGATCTTTTCAAACTCATATTGGTAATATTCTGATATACTAGGCATGTATACATTCATTTAATTGCATACTCAAATCACATTAATATGCTAGCAAAACTTCAAGGTCTAAGAGAAAAGAAACACTAAAACTTAGCCCATTGATAAGGGAAGGAGTGTCAGACGCTAGCGAGGCATGAGGCTAGATAAGCATTTTATAGATACACTCAACCCTTACAGTAATTTGTGTACGTCAAACTATAAAAACATGAGCTTGGCTTAAATATATATATACATTAGCTAATGATAAGCAAGAAATACTTGAGAAGTGAAATGCATTTAATCACGTGTTGCAAAAAGAAAATAATTCCAAACTGTAAAATACTTCAACTTGCTGCTTATTTTCTTGTAACATAGTGCCATCTTCTGACTAAACTGTTGGTATGCAACTCTGATTCAGTCAACAACAGTAAATTTAAAGTGAAATGCAAAAACAAAACCAAAGCAATTCAAGAATCAGAGTTAGTTTCACAATGCAGCTACATTATGAACATAAGCTGCAGCTGAGAAAAACCATTGCTTTCAGAAATGACCTAAGGTATAACCTAGAAGAGATTCCCAGAAGCAATGGACACCGTTTAAAACTAAGAGAAACTGAAAATTTCAGCCCTCTCAAATAGCTACTCCCAATGCTGCAAGACACCTTCATCAGTCAACAGAAGTGCAAACAGTAGAAAAAACAACCCAGCCAAAGCAGCATTTGTTCAATTACTTTCATAAAAAATGTCTGATGTTTAAAGCCAGCCTGTGCACCTGCACAAGGCTGGCAAGACATGGTACACCACCACCAGGTACTTGAGAATAGGTGCTTTCTTCCCTTAAAGCTCCTAAATCATCAAAATTAATTAATTCTTGTCAGTCAAATGGTCAGGAAGAGACCCAGGCTGAGGTCAGGCTGAAGTACCAGCAGCTTTTCCAACCACGCATGAAGGATCTCCATGTAACAAAGATTTTACTGCTACTTACCTAGGATCGTCTGCATCATTCTTAAGTGGCAACATCTTCTGTCATACCCCATGGCTAATATTTCCCCCACCTTCACCTATCACCACTTCATTTACATGACTAACCTTGATTTCCTCAGTAAGCTTTGAGATGTCACAAGTTTGGGGTTTTTTCTATCTATTCACTGTCTGTGGGTTCCAATAAACATACGCCTCTAATTCCAGACCGCTTTCAAAGCCATGTTACCATAACTTCTTCCAAAGACTGTAAATCATTGAGAACTCACCTCCATTGAGGCAGAACTCACTACTAGAACTTTGTTATCTACAGAATCTGATTTCCATTTCTGAAACTGTAATAAGCTTCTTCAATCAGCAGCATAAGATACCACAAGCAAGTCCCTCAAGTCCTAACTAAGTGCCATCTTTTACTCACACTGAGGAGAGAAAGAAAAAGGCCAAGAACAAGACACTCTATAAACCATACGTAAGAACTACAGCCTGTGGATGCACACCCACAAAGTATCATCTGAGGGCATACACTTTCCACTTTTCAGGATCAAGACTTTCTCCACAGCTAACTTAGCAAAACTGAACTGAAAACTACTCTTTCAAAAGAAGAGTGCTTTATCCAACACTGCCGCAAATTGAGAAGCTAAAAATTTGGGCATAGCTTTTGAAAAAAAAATAAAAATCTAAATGCACAGGGAACAGATTTCAAATCATTTCAGTAAAAGTCAGCGTGCTATAAAAATTCAAGAAAATGTGTCTTTATAACACACCAGCTTACTCCATCAATCCCTTTCATTTAGGATCCAGTAAGTGCTTATTTCAGCACTGGGAAGAAACATCTCACGTGCCATATATTCACACTGGCCTAGCCTAGCAAGTTCTCCACACAATGTAGTTTTCACCCACAACTAGAACACACAGAACAGCTTTTTTTTTTTCTTCATATAACAGAACAAACTCAAAACTCATAGCTGTGAATTAAATGAAGATATTAAAGTACATTGAAAGATCTAAGTTTATTTTATGAGTAGTTTTAAAACAGTCATTTGTTTCATTTCATAGAATACCGAATACCTCAAGTTGGAAGGGACCCATAAAGATCATC